GAATAAAAGACACTCCTTCAGCTCCACTGAAATAATTGCACAGAGATCTGTTTCCTGTCACCACATCACCTTTTATTTACACAAGCACAGTACATAGACTCTGACCAGCTAGCTCAGAGACAATCGCCAGAATAAGGAGATTCTCTGAACCTCCTGTTTATTTCTGGCAGCTGGGGCTCCCTGATTGGTCCAGGTTAACAACCCCAATCAAGGATCTCATGATCAATGTGATCCATCTGGCCCTCATTCCAATCACTACACCCACAAAACTCCAACCAATCTGTGTTCCTCTAATTCTAGCCTATTGTGCATTCCCCAATGTGCATCACTTCACATTGGTGGCCTTATCTTCAGTTGCCTGCCTCCTAAACGCTATAATTTACTCCCTCCCTTCATCTCTCTGCCTTATCTGCTTTCAACCTCAAAGGCTTTCTTTAATATTTACTTCAAAAATCACAGGATTTTTATAGCACAGAAGATGGCCACTCAGCCCATTGTGTCTGCATCAGCTCTTCAAATGAGCACCATTACCTACTTCCTTGACCAAGATTTTGCCCATCTGCCCTGATATCACTTCGAATGCCTCAGAGTCAGATTTTGCCTCATAGCACTCCCCCGAAACAGCCTTCAGCTGTTTTATTACATGAAAGGTGAATATTTGAGTTGTTGTGTATTTTAGAAGTGTGAGAGCCAAATGGCTGGTCCTGCTTTTGATTCTTATGTTACACTGTACAAACATTGCAGAGAGGTGGGACAGCAGTCGACCAGTATTCAGGAAATCTCAGGAGGAGGCCATTCTGCATCTTGACCCTCTGTCACCTCTTTGTATGAGCTGCACAATTAGTCCTACTCTCCTCTGCTTTGTAATTTGATCTATTCAATGGGCAGACAGTGCAGTGTTCAAGCTCGACTTGACAACCATTGTTTCAAAGTGCTTTGTTGCCATAGAGGTCCTCTATTTACTTAGATATACAAGGTGTAGAGCTGGATGAACACAGCAGGCCAAGCAGCATCAGAGGAGCAGGAAGGCTGACGTTTCGGGCCTAGACCCTTCTTCAGAAATTTCTCGAAACGTCAGCCTTCCTGCTCCTCTGATGCTGCTTGGCCTGCTGTG